TTGGTGGTCATTAATGTTTGAATTCTAACATTTGATTATGACCCATGGAATAGAATGTTCTGCTAATAATTGAATTTAGTGTCGATAAAGTTGTTTGGAAAAGAAACAATAAAAACAGCCTATCAAATTTCTTTTGAAGTTCTTTGGCTATTTCTGTTTGAAGTATTTGACAGAACTCATTCGAGTTAATAAAACTGGTAACACCTGAATTATGGTCGGTTACTTGATGCCACTGAACATCAATTATATGGTTTCTTGGATGATATCATTGATTATGCAATTATAATTGCGAATTGTGATTTATGAATTATGAATTATGATAAGTAATTTACGTTTTATCATGAGTTATGATTATTGATTTGGGAATTTATGTTTACAAAATTATATTTGCGAATTTCGATTTATGATAAGTAATTTATGTTTTGATGAGGAATGATTATTGATTTGGGAATTTATGTTTACGAACTTATGTTTGCGAATCGTGATTCATGATAAGTAATTTATGTTTTGTGAGTTAGGATTATTGATTTGGGAATTTACGTTTAGGAAATTAGGATAAGTGAAAAAATTTAATCGAAAAGATGTTGGCCGCTCAATTCAACCCCTGTGTACTTGGTTATTTTTTTAATCAATTGTAATTCAAAAATAAATTGGGGCATTTTGCAAATTATGGAACGATTTTTTACTATTTTGGGTTGTATTGAACTATATTTTCATATGCATACGATTTTGACGTTTTAGTTTATTTACATATATATTGAATAACTTTTAATATTATGTAACCAAATTTTAATAAATGATTGGACTACTACGGTTGTTGACGGTTAATGGTCATTGGTCAACGGTCAAGAGTCAACTCGCCCTAGCTGGACTTCAATTCTGGATTCATCGCTGTTTCTAGACCATTGTATTATTGTTTAAAGTATTTGCATGGCTGGGAGAAATACTTTGTAGAGTACAAACTGTGCCTAAAGTTGGCTTTTCATTCAAATTTGGAAAAGTTTGAATATGGCAAATAAGTTGGCTGATTTCTTGTCTTGTTGAACTCACAATAAATTGGATTAATGATAACCTCATTTAATCCTTTGGAATTAAATGAGACGACTTTATGCCATTTATATTTGCATATAACATGACAAATTTGTGACTTGTTCTAGTAGAAAGTGCTTGCAAAATTATTGAGACATGGAAACATCTTATAGAGCAAAATTTGAGTTTGCATATGATTGTGACAAAACGTGATTTTGTCCAAATGTGAATAAGGTGAAAATGTACATCATAGTTTGATATGATACAATATTATCTTATGTCAAAAAGCGATAAGTTGCTTATGTTTGGAGTAGTAAATCTTGTGAAACAAGATGTTTAGTCTTATTCATTGACGAATTTGACTTCAATTGTGAAACCAATTGAGTTGGTTATGCTTGAAAAACATTAATGGTCTATAAGATGAGCTTGATCAAATGTGTAATCAAAACTAAAGATAGTTGGATTGGAGGTCATTGTGAACTAACAACCACTATCTGAATGTATTTAAACTTTCACGAATGTTGTCAAAGTAAATTGAACTATGAATGAGTTTAATGAACCCCATGTTTAAGTAAAATCCCAAATGTGGGGGTTATCACGTTGATAAATTCTAAAGTAATCCCAAATGTGGGGGTTAACTTTAATGCTTGTGAATTTATAAGAGAAGTTCAAAGTGTGAATGCAATATTACAAGAATGCATATAAATTCCTAATTGAGGAATTGTGGGGGTAACTTAACATAAAAGTTAAAAGTTCCCTAACCTTTTAATCGTAGAAATATATCGATGAAGTAGAAAATGTAGAAAATCCTTATATATAATTATAAGGATGAAATAAACTAAGTCTTAAATGGATGAAATGGGTAAAGACCGATTATGGCACTTGCAAAATCAATGGAATATTTAAAGAATATTCATTTAAGATCATTGTAATAATTCAATGAAGAGAATACCAAATACCCAATTATGAAATCCACAATAAAAGTAATTGACTAGTGTAATGATTTGATGAAAATCATCCAACATCATTTTTAAAAATCTATAAAGCGTTATATAAAGCGAAGCTTGTGGTTTCATAAAAAGAGAATTCTTGGTGGTGACTAGTTGTGTCTATCAAATGAATCGATCATTGGCTAACTATATTTTGATAAGATACTATGTCGCATGAAATGAAAAGTAAGGACAATAGTCTTAAAGGTGACTTCACAAGGAAATTATCAAAGATGGAATAATTTTCGAAGAGAATTTTGCGGATCCTTTAACTAGACCACTAAAAAAAATTTAGTGGCATCTATTTTGAGAAGGATGAGGTTGAAACTCCTAATTTATAAAGATTCATCAATGACGGCAACCATACCTATCGTTTACTCAAAAGGTAATCCACGGGTTCAAAGGATAACAACAAGTCATTTGATATGTGGATAGTTGCAGCATTATTAAAATTCACAATAATCCTATCCTAATTAAAATAATGATGGTTGTTACTGAAATAAGGGTTGAGCTTTTAGCTCTTAATGAAGTTCAGTGCTAAAACACAAGTATCTTTAAAAGTAACAAAGGTATTGGAATAACTTCACCTAAACGAACTTTGAGGTTGTGCCACCTCAATTGAGAGTTGGAGTTTCTCTCTTAAAAGTTTGTTGAATAGGATAAGCGCAAAGTCATAAAAGTGCTAAGTGAGTTGAGAAACTTGAGAACACATGGTACTCATGTGTGTGTTCTAACCGGTATTCTCACATGGAATAATTTGTTCAAACTACGGCTATCTTTGATTCCGACTTTACTTTGTTTGGATTACACTATGTTAGATTCAAATCGAAAGATATATAATCCTTATACATGGATATCGTATACTTTGAATATGAGAATTTATTGAATTTTGAACAAGTGGAGGATTGATGGAAAAATGTTTTTCAATAAATTAATAAACACAAGTATGGAACGAAAGAGAAGATGGGAGCCAATACTTTGGCCTATGCGACTGCATGGCCTGTTGCCATAGCCAGAAACTTGGAAGCCGACGTTAGCATAAACCATACGACCGTGTGGCATTACACCATGCGGTCGCATGGTTGTAATTTAGTGACTGTTGGAGGTCGATTTCATATGAATTCTGGCGATTTTTTGGAGGAAACATTGCAACTTTTCATAATGATTTGGCACCAATTCGTGAGGTATTGACTCGAACCTATAAGCAGGTGATGAGATGATCAATACAAACAATTGAAATCAAAATGCAACTTATGAATCTTATTAACTTCATTCCACAAGAAAGAAAAATTCCTTTCTTCTTTCATATTCATACATTCTCTATGTGTTTTTCAAGTTCAGGTAGAGAAATATTTGTGCTTTTGTTTTTTTCTACAACAAGGCTTGATCAATCCTTCGAACCGTTTGCCGCAAGACCCTTTAAGCACCAAAATTGTTACCGAGAGGGGACAAATATCGTTTGAGGACAATAATATAATGTCATGTTTGAGCCTTTCAATTTCGGTTTGTTCTTTACATTTATTTCATCTTCTTGATATCACTTCTATGTTGTTTCTTCTCCAATTTCCTCGATGGCGATAATTTCCCAACAGAATGAATGGATAATTTGTTTTTTTGTTAATGAATGTTTAGAAGGTGATTGATATGCGATTTGCAAACCGATTCACCTACAGAATTTGCGTCGGTGAATTCTATTGACCTTCTCCAACAAAATTTCTATCTTTGAGTTTGTTGGTGAATGTTAACGTCATATATGTTACTCATTCGTTGCTGGTTCCCAAGGTAGCAACAGATGTCGTGCATAGGTAACTTTTCATATGGATGAAAATGTGATTTTTAGTAATCTTGACGTGCCTGTACAACTCCAGCATGAAAAATTCATTAAAAGAATTCACGAGGTTGGCAAATCTTAATGAAAGAGAGAAGTTTATATTATCAATCTTGTCACCACACACACACACACACACACACACACAAAATCCTTTTTGGATTGATTTGATTGGTCAAATTATTAAAAGAAGGAAAAATTATTTTAACAAATTAAAATTGTCCTTAATTTAATTATTAATCATATCAAACATATTTTACATTATTCTTAACGTACAAAACATCTATATTTTAGGTAAGACACATTCGTGCCTTGGAGGGGTATTTACATAAGTAAAAAGAATCACTAAGGAATGTTGAGAGGCTTTGAGAAAAATTTGTATATGTTTGACAAACCTGCAGCAGCAAGTCACCTTCTCCAATGAGTTATGATTAACTGATATTCCAGTGAAGTATCTCCAAAAAAAAAAAAATGCGCTCTTCAACCCTAATTGAAGATAACACACTTGTACGAGAATGATATAGCCTTACTCAAAGATCAGGCTACTTGGTGTGAGTTAAGATTGGTGAATCTTAATCCAAGGACTTGTTGCTACCAAATACAATAATGAAGTGGCGATAAAGTTAAGACCGAAAAGGTTTAATTCCACTTCTTCAACTAGTCAAAAAGAATAAGAAAACGAGGGAGTTGTTCTTTATTTGCTTTTGATTGTTTTAGTTAATTTTGCGAAATTACTAAACTAAAGCTATTATATTTTTTTTTATTTTTTGATAGTTGATTATTTTACCTGTGGCTTGGGAGCCCTTGGATGTTTTCCTTAGGGGCTTACCACGTTATATCTGGTATTCTTCTTTATTTAATTTTGCAATCGATTATATCTTGTAGAACACATATTTGTTAAGTTATCCCAGTTAGAACTGTGTGTAAAACTACCTATAGAAGGTTTTGACCGACTTGTGTGTTCTCATCAAAATGAATAATTGAGACATTGTTTAATTAACGAGGTTTTAGTACCAACAATTGTCTTGCTACCAATTATGATTTAAGTTAAATCAATTTTATGTTTAATTTACTTACTCTAATGCCATGTTGAGCCACTTCATATAAAATTTTATGTTCAATGAGTGGAGACAGTTATTTATTTAAATCCTGTCTTTAACACATCCTCACTTTATATTTTGATCAATAAACAGACTAAAAGAAACTTACAATCTTCAATATTTAGGTATACAAGTACAACAAAAGTAACACGAACTAGTGGACACAAGTCATGCCACCAGCTACAAGAGCTCACACAGGCAGCTTTTACTTTTCTAAACGAAAGCACTCGAGGATTGCAATATTATTGGAAACATAAACACAGTACGAACTTGTAGATGGGCACAAGGCATGACCTCCAACAAGTACATATAAATTCATTGATTAGCAATGACGGTAGTAGCAGTAGCAACCATAATACTTACTATGGTGATTTTTTAGACAAGCACCATGGTAAGCTCCCTCGTGGTGAATACAGTAACTGCTGCATTTATGAGGAGCACACAACCCACGCCATCCTTTGCTAAGTTTTGTGCAAGGTTTTGCCTCCCCCAATTGCATCTCTGCGTAAAAATTGGATCAGGAAAGATAAATAGTATCAGTTATTCAAAAAATTACGTCATTTTATTTTACTTTTTAAGAACACTTCTCAATCTTACTCAAATGTATATATTCTGTAAGTTCTTATCATGTTAAGAAAAATGAAAAGCAAGCAAAAATTCACCCATAGGAATTTTATTTTTTTTCGTGGGTGGAAAGGTGTCAAGAAAAACTATGAAAAATAATGAATAAGGTGATTAACTGTCTCCGGTTATTTTCTAATGATAATCATATGCATGGTGCATTGAAAAATAATGAATAAAGTCAGGACATATATTGTTACATTCGACTAATCTTGATTGAATGTGATTAATAAAAAAAAAAAGAGTGGTTCTCTCAACAAATCTTGTTCAGTCCTATGTACTGAACATGACAATGTTTTCCAGGAATAGAAATTGAATTATCTGCTCATGGAGCGCAAAACTACCTACCGTAGGCTGCAATAATGAGGAAGCAGAAGAAGAGAGCAAGAAAAGTAGTCTTGTTGAGTTTAGCCATCTCTATGGACTCTTAATTTCAAGTGTTTGTGATAATATACAAGTGAGAAGATGCATATTTATAGATAAACTAAGCAACTGCATAATTCAACATATATGTATATATTTTAATCAAATGTGAATAATAAGTGATGACTGAATAAATCAAGACTGAGTATTTATGATTGCTTTATAATAATATCTTTGAATGACTTTCTGTACCCAAAAAATAAATAAATAAGTAAATAAATAATATATATACACTCCTGTGATTCCATTTTATTTTTTTATTTTTTTTGCAAAATATCTCAGCTTGAAAATGATTCAGTTAATTAAATATAAATATATGATGAGAATAAAACAACTTGTAGTTGGTTGACAATCTCAAAGTCTTCACCTAAAATGAAATTCTATGCTCATGCCAAATTGGTAGAGTACCTCATTTTTGGATATGATCCAATCAGCCAAAGATGCGGTATCAATTGTAAAAAATATTAGAGTAACTATTTAGAACACGCTATAAACCCATCATAATAATTTGTTAATATAATTTTTTTATTTACTTCGATATAAAATGATTTTTGAGATTGACGTCGAAAAATTCTTTGAAATACTTCCTATTACTATAATAATTAGTAAATGTAATGTATATAGAAGGAAAAATGCAATGTACACACACACACGAAGAGGTGACATTAGATTTTTCGATCTTGTAACCATGGTTTGAACATAAATCCCCTATAATCTACGTGAAAAGCAAGTCAATCTTAAGTCACCTTTTTCATTCTGAAGGATAGGATGAAAAGAAATCTTTGTTTCTTCTTTTTTTTCCAAATTTGGTAGGATAATTCAAGAGAAAAGGGTATGAATTAACGTACACAAGAGTGCCATGAACAAGTCATGAAAGTGATCATACCAGGAATAACATATAATAATGTTGACTGTGAAATACCAAATTGAAAGTTTGAATAGATCATAGTTTCCCACTATGAATTCATGGACTTCGTCTTACCACGTTGATCACATTGACTTATATAGTCATTTTGCAGAACGTATTATCAGAAATTTAATATTTATGAAAGTTGTGTGATCTTGATTTTCAAGTAGAAGATGAGGTTATTTGCCGTTGGATATTCAAAGTTTTGAACGAATATCCAAACTTTTGATTTGATATTTGATTTGGAACATATAACCACTATCAAGGCGATCTTATTAATAAGATAGATATTTTTAAGATCATTCAACACCAAGACTTAACTTTGTATTACAACTAAGAAAAACTGAACATAGCAATTCAATCCATTTAAAAGTTTAAATCGTCACTATATGTTACAAGTAAATTCCAAGTTGCTTAAATATAAAATAAAGAATCAATATATAAGGGTTTATGATACTTCGGGTTAATAGTTTAAGATGAAATTCCAATATTCTCTATATGCAACAATTCAAACTAAACTCAAATTCTATTCCTTGAGTGTTTGGATGGCTATGTTCGTCCACTCACTTTTGGGGAACGGCCAATAAAAAGAGAAAATGAGTGCACGATCATGACACCCTCACAAAGAAGTAGTTGGAAGAACTTATCCTTTATTTTCGGGAAACCTCACTCCCCTCCGGCTTATCCTTTAATTAGGGAAGGGAAAATTTTGGATTCTGAGTAGTGATAAAATCATTAGATTTTGTCTTTGTGGACTGAGGAGAAAAGGGACAAGATGTTTAGATGAAACCTAAAGTACTCGCTAGCCGTAATGAAAGGAGTTGATTGATCAAAGTATATTTTTTCATTGTTATGCATGCTTGACAATCACACAATTTTAGAGGATCAAATTTGAAGAAATAAAAGTTGAAGGACCAAAGTGATGATTTCGGCAAGATGGAGGATCAATCTCAAAGCAATTGGAAGTGATAGGACCTAACTTGAATGATTTAAAGATGGAAGAACTAAAAGTGAACCTGAGCTAAGGGGGCTGCTTTGCTTTTGGTTTTCAACTCGTGTGAAATTGTTCCGAATGTGGCTTTTCCAGTTTTCACGGGTATGAAGCTCTACTCTTTGATGTTTTTTACTCTAATGAAAAATCTCAAAACACTGTACAAAGATCCGAACACCTTGTCAAGCTTTCTCAATCTTTCTATGCCTTTTCCTTGCACTGATTTCTTTGCTAAGACAACATATTTCTTCTACTGAGCCACGTGTAGACTTTCTTTGTCAACAAGAGCCCTTTCTTCTTTCTCTTGCATGGAGCACACCAATTTGACTGTTTCGAGCCTCTTTTCATCTATACTTTGCCCAAACTCCATCCAAGCTGGGGGTGGTCAACTAAAGTACAATTAGACACTATAATAACTATCAATTATGTAACAAATTGGTGCAAGATATGTTTACTATGAAACTAAACATGAAAGACAAAAGCAATGGATCTCATTTTGGTACGAAAAAAAAAAACAAAAAACACCACTGTATTGCAGCAATTCAATTATTTTGGGTACATATTACCAGTATTGGACCGCATCTTCGAATTTTCCATTGGTGAAGCCACAAAATCCATTTCTATTAAACAGCACAATCGAAAAAATTTCAGCTGACAAGAATTGCTATTTTAAGGGAGCTCAAAGTTACCTGCCTATTGGTGAATTCGACTACCAATTTTCAGTATGTGGAGTCAACCAAAATTTCACAAACGGTCACTGAACTTACAAAAAAATTACAAAACGGTCATTGAAATTTAAAACTTTCAGTAACGGTCACTTAAGTATTGGAACGCTTTCAAAAATGGTCATTAAAATTTAAAAAATTTTGAACTACTTTTGCGGCAATTTTTCGACCACTTCCGACCACCGATACCACCGGATTTTGATATCGTTGGAAAGTCTACAATGTCCTCTTCAATTACAACAAAAAATCTCCCCCAAACTCCAAAGGATTCGGCCGGAATAAACCCACAAAATCGGCTACCCGAAAAGACAAAAATCTGCCCAAATTTTCAGATTTTTGGTGGACTTTTGCGGCGATTTTTTGACAACTTACGACCACCAAAATAGCCAAATTTTGATACCGTTGGAAATCCCACAATGTTCTCTTTAATTTGCATCCAAAATCTCCCCAAAACTCCAAAGGATTCGGTCAGAATAAACTCACAAAGTTGGCATCCCAGATTTTCGTCTTTTTGGGATGCCGATTTTGCGGATTTATTCCGGCCGAATCTTTTGGATTTTGGGGGAGATTTTGGATGGTAATTGAAGAGGACATTGTGGGATTTCCAACGATATCAAAATCTGGTGATCTTGGTGGTTGAAAGTCACTGAAAAATTGTCGTAAAAGTCGCTCAAAAATCTGAAAATCTGGGCAGATTTTCAGATTTTTTGGGACAAATTTTGCGGTGATTTTTCGGTCAAATTTCTTGGTATTACGGAAAGATTTTGAGTGGTAATTGAAGAGGACGTTGTGGGCTTTCCAACAGTATCAAAATTCGATGGTATCGATGGTTGGAAGTAATCGAGAAATTGCTGCAAATGTAACCAAAAAAACTAAAAAAGTGTTTTTCAATTTCAGTGACTGTTTCAAAAACTTTTTAAATTTCAGTGACCGTTTTTGAAAGCGTCCCAATACTTAAGTGACAGTGACCGTTTTGTAATTTTTCTATAAATTCAGTGACCGTTTGTGAAATTAACCCACCAACAAATCAATCAAACATCACCCATAGGATATCCATAGGTAAACCCAAGTAATGTCAACCAAACAGCACCTGTAAGGATTTTTAATCGATCATGTGGGCTTATGTGTGAATTATTGTATGTTAAATTAATGAAAAATTTCATATCTATATCATTTATAAAAAATATTTCACAATTTACTACGTTATATTTATAAAACCAAATATACTTGATTATGTAAGAATTATGTTTATACATACTTGCTTCCTAAAATAAACCTAATTCCAAAAGTATACCAGTAGCTTCATTGTGTGACTAAAATTTTTTTTTAAATCCCCCCAATTTACGTTTCTTCATTAATGTCATGTCTATATCAAATATTAACTTCAAAAAAACGATTATGGGCAACAACAAACAAACTTGCTGGTTTGAATATTCAAACCGTAAACCTTGTCTTTTACGTTCTAGAACTCGACGACATTGGAACTGTTTTTCAAGACTTTTCATCTCAAACATCAAGGTAATTTTAGTCCTTTTGTAACGTCTTACGATTTGATACAATTCTTGCTAAATCTTTTAATATTTCAAGTGATAATCACAGGGATCCTCCATTTTTTGCCTCAAAATATAAATCAATTGTATATTAATTTTAAGAGATTTTATCGTCTATGATCTCCTAATTCATTTCCGGCAAGTTATAACTCTTATCATTTTTGTAGGTTTCATAATAAACATTTACAATTATTTTGATCATGTATATTATCAATTAATCGATTAACATATCGTAAATTGGTATCGTAATATGTATACTTCTCTGGACAATGTTGAGTGTTGAATGAGAGGCGACCACTTGCGTATATGAAAATACTTGTTTCATGTCATGAAATGCAAATTAGTTCACTTTTATTCCATTGTTTTATGTCTGATTTGTCGAAATTTTCATCACCATTTAATGCATTTCTCATATAGATGTCTTAAATTCATCATCGTTTGTGTGTGTCTCACCTTCAATTAGAATGAAAAATATATATGAACTACTCTCAAGATGAAATATACATATGATTAAGGCTTCTATTATGACCAATTTATACGTATATGTGTTCTAAATCTATCTTTTCTCATTCCTTTTTTTTTTTTTTTTTTTTATTACAAGTATGGATCTGACATGTAAATAATTTGAAAAAGGACACGATGCAAACTAGCATGTTTGAACAACGCAAAAGCAATGCAATCTAGAGTGAAAATGAAGCAGCTTAGAACCACACTATGCCTGCCCAAATAAAGTCAAAATGAGTTCAAAAATCTAGAGAGCTATACATAACCAGTTAAATCATCAAACCTTCATATTCCTATACGCCTAATGCTACGATGTACAAGACCAAAATTCGTGTCATAT